CCACCATGGCAAAGGCCAAAGAGCTGTCCAAGGATGTCAGGGACAAGATTGTAGACCTACACAAGGCTGGACTGGGCTACAAAACTATCTCCAAGCAGCTTGGTGAGAAGGTGACAACAGTTGGTGCAATCATTCTCAAATGGAAGAGGCCTATGTTAGCTCTGTCCAGGCTGTGGCTCCTGTCTCCTGCTGTGGTGTCGGTCATCAACAGGACACTCTTTTAAAGCCCTGCGGCCCCGGCCCACCGGGCAAATGCCCGGTGTGCCCTATGGCCAGTCCAGGCCTGCCTATGTGAATGAGTAAGGGGTACAAAGTACCTCTACTCATTCACAAAATAAATGTAAACAGTAACAAAATAAGTACAGTATGTTTGGCAAAACCATTAGTATAAAAAAGCACAAAAAAGTCCCACAATGTACATTCACTCATCAATCACATTCTCCAGCAATGTTGAACTACTTCAATCATGATGCCTGACGCCTGACAACCGACTGAAAGAAAAAAAAAACGTGGCCAACTGAAGCACATCATAGTCTGTTACTTCACACTTGCTGAATGACAGGTCTGGCGAATGACAGACCATACATATAAAAGGATTAATTGGTCAATGATGTCATGAGCATCCCTTGAGAGCATGTGACTACAACCCGTATCACTCTCATTCCTGGCCTGCAAAGCTTTTTTGCTTGATTTTTACATGGGCTCCCCTTAAACTCAATACTAAATCCAGAGGGTCTGGTCTAGAGTTGGAGGGACCTTATGCCATTTTTTTTTCCTGGGTGGGGACCCCCCTAAAATTCATACTACACTTGAAGGGTCTGGTATGAAATGGGGAAACTATATGCTGTTTTTTTTTTTCTTTTTTGTTGTGTAACGGTGTGGTATAGATGAATGGAATCCCAGACTGCCTCATTAGAAAGCAGCTTGGAGCTGTAATTTTGCAGGCAATTTAAGCACATTTTTTTTCTCTGTAAATGTCAGTGCTGCTGAAGTAGACTGTATACATTGAACAGATGTGCCACTTCAAGGGGAGGGCCATGGCATCCCCCAGGCAGGTTATTTAATGAGATTTTACAATCCATTGCCTATTATCCTGGAAAATGTTCAGACCTGTGTTTTAACAATTCTCTCCTATTCGATGGTGTTTTGATTCGGCACCCAAACTTTAGTCATGTTCGCCAAACCCTGCTTGAACTGAACTCAGGAGTTTTTGGCTCATCACTATAATTTACACTGTAAAACAAAACTTGCCAATCCACAAACATGTCCACTGCCCTCATAGACTGAGATCCTAGGCTGACAGCTGAATTGTAAAAGAGAGGTAGGCATGGTGGCTGATGTCACTGATATCCCAGGCCAAAAAATGACCATGGCCATATTGGGTCAGTCACCATCTCTCCACTTTTATTTACATTCAGCTGTCAGCCAGGAATCCCCAGTTGGCAGCTCAATGGCAGGGCGAAGATACGTCACCGGTTTATATAAAGTCAGTGGCTCCCTAACGACCAGTCTGAGTATGAAGCTGTCACTTTTAGGTGTTGGTAATACCACTGCTTCATGTTTCACATTACACTGCAATAGGGATGGCTTAGGCTGAACATCACATTTAGTATACCCATTTGCCAAAGCCAAACAGGCAAAGTTTGGACCAAATTCAATCTTGGCCCAAATCAGATCATTCCAGTTTGGGTTTGGAGCCACCTTGGGGTTGATGTAGATCTGACAGTTTCACAGTTGGGTGACATTTTGAATTTGTGGCCAGTAATTAATGCCAAACTCATAGCTTGTTCCTTGTCAGATGCAATTTATGTGACGTGATATTAGCATACATATTTATGAAGTGCACATTTTTTGTAAAAAATATCCTAAAGATAACCAGTTCCTGACCGCCCTATAGCAGAAATACTGCTACAGTGTGGCACGGGTGCGGAAAAATTAAGTATTTGATCCCCAGAGATGTTTGGCCTAAATTGGATGATCGATCACTGCCCTATCAGGGATCTTCCTGTACCTGTGTTTACACTTACACAGGTACAGGAAATGATGAAATTTTCTCTCTGGGCACACTCCGGGTCCCAGAGAGAGAAGAAAGAAGACAATAGTGAGTACAATCAGCACACTTTTACAGTTAGAACACTTTAGGACACATTTAACCCCTTGATTGCCCCCCCCCCAGTTAGCCTCTTCACTGCCCTGTCACCAGTGTCATTAGTACAGTGTACAGATTTTTTGCTGATCACTGTATTAATGTCACTGTTGACCTCAGATAGCGTTAGCATCAGTTAGCATCCATCTCAGATACCATCAGATTGCCCATCATTACACCAGTCATCACATTTAAACCCCTTGATTGCCAGGAACATGCTCACATACACAATAAACCTCCATTGCTGGTATAGTGTCTGAACGGATCAATATCTTTGATCAGATCAGCACAATAGCAGCATTCACATTAGCATAGTGTCCCCAAAAATGCAGCGTTAGTGGGATCAGCCCAGGTACCTGCCAACACCTGCATTTAGCCCCTACTCTTACCCCCCCTGCCCCCCTCTCGGCCAGCAAGTGCAGTGTCTGTAGGTCACTGTCACTTGATACATTGCACACAAAACCACAGTGTTCGCAGAATCAGGCCTGATCTCTGTTAGCACTTGTTGGTAAACTTTTTTGTAGTGGTTCAAGCAGACCCTGACAGCCTGTTACTTTTTCCCATGAGTCGCACTAGGTACCTGTAAATTTAGTGGCCAAAATGTCAATAGAAAGATTCTCTATTGAAGAGTAATAAAAACAAAAAGATCCTCCTGTGCTCTTATGTGTAAGCCCAGAAATAACTAAAGAGCCGCCAACATCTAGTCCTATACCAATAGGTGCAGTATTGAATAAAATATGTATAATTGATGCAGCGCTTTGTATAAAATAGCAATAATAAGTGACACAAGGTGTATAAAACACATACACGGTCCTAAAGGTGGACCAATAATTGTGATAAATAAACAATGGTGACCCCAATCCACATGGGGATATTTGGAAATGTGACTCCTGGTACCCAGATTGGGACACAGTCCAACAGTAGGTGAATCCCTACAGAGGGATCAAACACATACACTCAGTGTGCAAACAGATAATAAACATATCATAATAAACATATTAAAATCTGTGCAATAAGTCCATTAATCAGTACTGCAATCCTCCTGATCATGCAAGATGTGGGTACACAGCACACCATCAATGTGATCCCAAAAAACGGCTGCAATGGCCTCTCATCTCCACTTCGCGACCCTGGGGTCCTTGCAGGGCCACAAAGCATGTATGGATCGCCTCTGGATCCCCTCAGATCAGATGCTCCTTGTAGCCAGGTAATATAGGCAGATATCCTGGAGTCAACGTTCCACTGGGATATAACCCTCTGGACCAGTCAGTAGGTAAATAGGTACTCTCATATAAATCAAAGCTCATATGCCCATAGAACGAGAGAAGAACACAATCTCCATAGTGTAACACTGTGTCAGGAATGGACTTGCCAGTAATGGTGGGACTCACCTGCCTTGTGGGCTGCAGTACACCAGGGCTGGCTAGCGGGTGCTCTCAACAACCAGGGTTCACTTCGGCAATTAGCCATCACCTGGGGCTGATTGCAGGTGTATTTAAAGGATGGCCAGACCTGCAGTCTGTGCCTTGGTGTGTGTTTTTCCATGGGCCCCTTGTATCTTGTAACCTGCGTTCCTGTTCCTGTTTCTGTTTCTGCCTCTGCCTCTGCCTGACTTGTTGCTGACCCAGCCCTGATCCTGACCTCTGCTGACTTCTCCTGTTTTGATCCCTGGCTTGTGACCCTGACCATTCTCTCTCTGCCTGCTCCTCCTGTACCTACCTGCCCGATAGTTATCGACCCGGCCTGCCTGACTACGTTTGGTGCTCTATATGTGTATGTACCTGGTGTATCTATATCAGTTTAGGTTTGGGTTTTTTTTCACCTTGTTGTATGTATTTTGTGTTAGCTTGGGGTTTGGTGCACTGCGTTTATGTTTGTATTGTTAGTCTTTAATAAATTGTCTTATTTATACCATATCTGAAGCTTGCGTTTCCCTGTGTCAGTCCACACACTTCTGGTCACACCCGCATCCCTGACATTACACCAAGGCCAATCCTGACCAGAAGTGGCTGCACAGGGAAGCCATCTTGGCTTGTTGCTGGGAAGGATGGATCTTGATGAGGTTGTGTATTTGTGGCTGCTGGTTTTTTTGATGACAGAGAATATGCTTATCAGACTCTGAGGGAGTATACCCGGGATCAACTGCTAGAATGTATACGGCTCGCTCATGTTCTAGTAGATCAGGGCACAGAGTTCTCTGAGGTGCAACCTTTGATTCAGAGTTTGTGTAGAGTTGGCTTCATCTGGTACCCCTGAAAGCAGAAATGACTTTTTGCCACCATTTAGTGCAGACCAGGTAGAGTCCCTGGTATGGTTATTAGAGGATGATGTGGATTGCTTCTTGGAGCATTATGCTGCATGTTCATCACAGGTATTAAGGGATTGTATAAACGCAGTGCAGTCTTTGACCAGACAGGCTTTGTGTAAGCTCAGCTTTGTTCAACCCATACTGCAGACATGGTCAGACTTGTTGCACCAGCCTCAGTCAGCTTGCAACGTCATTCCTCTGCTCAAGGCACTCTTCCTGCATCCCCGACAGCACCCCCAGTGATGGCCCAGTATACTCTGCTAACAACCACATACCAGTCCCCTGCTCCCACTCGCTGCACCTATAGTTTCTTTTGGCCCTGTGGAGAGGTCCTCTGTGGCGGCTGCTCCCTCCTCTGTTCCATCTTCCAGCTCTTCTCTGTCCTCAGCTGCTCCATTCGTTTGCAGACGTGCGTTTACTTGCAGTGCTCCAGTAGTTAAAACCAGAAAAAAACGAAAATTCTTTCCAACCAGTACCATCCTGCCAGTATCAAAACCGGTGAGCCTGCCGTCTGAGAACCTGCCTTCCGTGGTTCAGCCTGGTGCCTCGGCACCCGCACTTCAGCCTGATGTCTCTACCCAGCCTGATGTCTGTACCCAGCCTGATGAACTGATCCAGCCTGATGATCCTATCACGCCTGATGACCCAGTGCCCGCTGTCATACCTGGTGACCCGATGCCCGCTGTCGAGCCAGACGATCCAATGCCTGATGACCCGGTGCCCGCTGTCGAGCCAGACGATCCAACGCCAGATGACCCGGTGCCCGCTGTCGATCCAGACGATCTGGTACCTGATGACCCGGTGCCCGCTGTCATGCCTGGTGACCCGATGCCCGCTGTCGAGCCAGACGATCCAATGCCCGGATCCAGCTCGATGTGCCTCTGCCCAGAGTCCAGCCCGATGTGCCTCTGCCCGGAGTCCAGCCCGATGTGCCTCTGCCCGGAGTCCAGCCCGATGTGCCTCTGCCCGGAGTCCAGCCCGATGTGCCTCTGCCCGGAGTCCAGCCCGATGTGCCTCTGCCGGAGTCCAGCCCGATGTGCCTCTGCCCGGAGTCCAGCCCGATGTGCCTCTGCCCGGAGTCCAGCCCGATGTGCCTCTGCCCGGAGTCCAGCCCGATGTGCCTCTGCCCGGAGTCCAGCCCGATGTGCCTCTGCCCGGAGTCCAGCCCGATGTGCCTCTGCCCGGAGTCCAGCCCGATGTGCCTCTGCCCGGAGTCCAGCCCGATGTGCCTCTGCCCGGAGTCCAGCCCGATGTGCCTCTGCCCGGAGTCCAGCCCGATGTGCCTCTGCCCGATGTGCCGCTGCCCGGAGTCCAGCCCGATGTGCCGCTGCCCCCGGAGTCCAGCCCGATGTGCCGCTGCCCGGAGTCCAGCCCGATGTGCCGCTGCCCGGAGTCCAGCCCGATGTGCCGCTGCCCGGAGTCCAGCCCGATGTGCCTCTGCCCGGAGTCCTGCCCGATGTGCCAGTCTTTGATATCCCGCCAGTTACCAGACCCGGGTGGTGGAACATTTTGCCCAGCTAGGACTGTTTGGAGCATCCTGAGGCGCTCCTTGAGGGGGGGTACTGTCAGGAATGGACTTGCCAGTAATGGTGGGACTCACCTGCCTTGTGGGCTGCAGTACCAGGGCTGGCCAGCAGGTGCTCTCAACAACCAGAGGTTCACTTTGGCAGTTAGCCATCACCTGGGGCTGATTGCAGGTGTATTTAAAGGATGGCCAGACCTGTAGTCTGTGCCTTGGTGTGTGTTTTTCCATGGGCCCCTGTATCTTGTAACCTGCGTTCCTGTTTCTGCCTCTGCCTCTGCCTGACTTGTTGCCGACCCCGCCTGATCCTGACCTCTGCTGACTTCTCCTGTTTTGACCCCTGGCTTGTGACCCTGACCATTCTCTCCGCCTGCTCCTCCTGTACCTACCTGCCCGATAGTTATCGACCCGGCCTGCCTGATTACGTTGTGCTCTATATGTGTATGTACCTGTGTATCTGTATCAGTTTAGGTTTGGGTTTGTTTCACCTTGTTGTATGTATTTGTGTTAGCTTGGGGTTTGGTGCACTGCATTTATGTTTGTATTGTTAGTCTTAATAAATTGTCTTATTTATACCATATCTGAAGCTTGCGTTTCCTGTGTCAGTCCACACACTTCTGGTCACACCCGCATCCCTGACACACTGCTTTATTGGCACATAAAAGTAAGCTAAAATGCAAACCCACAATAAAGTAGCTTGTATCAAGGTATTCTCCCCCATGTGCTGGGTGTAGAGCATGAAAATAAGGTGTTCCAAGATGGCGTCAATAGATGACGGCAATAGCGTGGTAACATACTTCCGGCGTGTGACTTATTATTGCTATTTTATACAAAGTGCTGCATCAATTATATATATTTTTACTCTATTGAAGAGGCCTACAGGATTCTGAGAATGTCAGGTGACAGCAAAGGGAAAGACTCACTCCTTTGGCTTCCTGGTACCCCAATCGAAAGGACACTCCAAAAACGATGTTATGTCTGTAGCAGACATAGAATTAGGCATGACACCCACTTTTTTTGTCCCTCTTGTCCTGGCCAACCTGGTTTCTGCCTCAAGGACTGCTTCCGCTGCTATCAAACACTAGTGGAATATTAGTATAGGGTACAGCACGGCACAGTTCAGAACACATATTTTCATAGAGTCTCGAAAGATGTTAGGTAGTCAGGAAACTGGTTATCGCATTTTGAGAGACCCTACAATTACAAAAAAAAAAAAAATTTTTTTAAAAACAAAAATAATTGTAGTTTTTTGTTGTTGACGAGTTACTGTTTTTACTGTTACGATTTTACTGTTTATTCTGACAGCAACAGGAACTTGCTCTAAGTCAGTGTGTGCAGCGCTGTTGAATGAGATTTTTCATCCGCAGTTAAAAAAAGAGCATAAATGCAGAAGCATGGGGGCCTGAGGTGGCCAGTGGGTGGAAGGCCCCTATGCTTCAGCATATATATATTTTATAATATTTTTGTACACATACTTCAATATAAAAGTTGTTTTATTGAGTTACTGTTTTGTTGTTAACCATTGCTGTTTTCTTTGCCGGCATGCCATTCAGTTGCAACACCAACTTGTTTATTCTGACAGCAACAGGGTCTTGCTCTAAGAATATACATAAGTAGGTGTGTGCAGCACTTTTGGATGAGATTTTTCATCCGCAGTTAAAAAAAGAGCATATATGCCGAAGCATGGGGGCCTGGGGCAGCCAGTGGGTGGATGGCCCCTATGCTTCGGTATTTATTTAAAGAAAAATGTTGGCAGAGATCTCCTCATCCACATTGACCAATGTGAATAGAGGAGTCTGTTAGGTTCTTTTTTTTCATTCAGCCCACCATTAGAAGTGGGTGGATGCAGGGCGGTATATTCTAATAGTGGGCATACCACACACTTTTTCTGGCAGAGATTTCTTCTCTTTTTTTCATTCAGCCCACAGGCTGCATAAAAACAAGAACATAGCTTATATACCCAAGGACCAGCGACTTACTGGTACATGACTGGACTTTGATTGGTTATACCAGGATGATGTCTGGCCCCCCATATCCAGGGTGTAACATGTAACATGTTATGAATACGCTGGCCCCCACTCCCCCCTCCCCCAGCTGTGGAGCGCTGTGTTAGTCAATTGATTCTTCCTGTCAGTATATCTGTTTACTCGTACATCCTGTACTGGCAGATCTTCAGGAAACCTGCATGGCACCAATGATCTGCTGATCGCTGGTGCAATGGTTTCCAGGCTCCTGCAACCAAATATAATAAATGCACTTTTTATTACTTGCAAAAAAATGTGCATTTATTATTTATTAAAAATACAGTGCTGAAAAAAAACATTTCTAAGCCAGTAAGATTAGCTGCATTGAGACTAAGGCCCCTTTCACACAGGCATACCGATTGGTCCGTTTTTACACCCACCTGTCCATTACACATGTGCAGTATGTTTAGTTCCGAATCAAAATTCAGACGAATTTCTGTTATTCAGGAGATTCGGATGTGTCCGAATTCTGAATTACAATAGTAACAAATTTAAACAAAACTGAAATAACGAAACAAAATTCAGCCGAAATTTCAATCGATTCAAAGAACACATTTGAAAACAAATTTGAATTCGAAAACCAAATCAAATCAACTAGAATAGAATAAAAAAATAGCACAGAAAATAAAGAAATAGGAAAGAATAGAATAGAAAAAATTGAAAATAAAAGAATAGAACAGAATACAGTAGAAAATAACAGAGTAACACAGAACAAAATAGAATAGAAAATAAAGGAACAGAAAAGAATATATAATCCATTAGAATAGAATAGTAAATAAAAGAATAGAAAATAATATAATCAATTAGAATAGAATAGAAAAGATTAGAATAGAAAATCAAAGAATAGAATAGAAAATAATAGAGTAAAACAGATCAAAATAGAACAGAAAATAAAGGAACAGAATAGAATCAATTAGAATAGAATAGGAAATCAAAGAATAAAATAGAAAATAGAAAAGATTAGAAAAGAGAATCAAAGAATAGAACAGTATAGAATAACAATAGAATAGAATAAAATAGAAAGCATATACCTGCCTTCTGAAATTCGAATTTTGAATAGAATTATTTTGAACAAAATACAATAGAATATAAAATAGAAAAGAATAGAATAGATTAGAAAAGACTAAAATACTTTACAAAAAATTGTGAGCTGCACTATGGTGATGTGAGTAGTGATTAACGAAGGCACTGTGCAAATTTTGCTGAAATTTCCAATATGGTCATGCAATTCTTTCTATAGTCCATATACCATCAAAAACACACATGGATTGTAACGCTAGAATTATTATCGAATCCATTAGAATTGTTTTAGAACTTGTTGGAAGTATTTTCAAATCCATTAGAATTGTTTTTGAATCCATTAGAATTATTTTTGAATCCGTTCGAAATTTCATATTCGGTCAAATTCAAATAAACAAAACGAATTCCGAAAAACAAGTTAAACAAATTTAACTAATCGAATTAAACAAAATTAGTCAGCTAACGAATCACAATTCACATTTTGCTCCACTTTCTCATCAGTTGTATTCATGTTATTTCATTTATGTTATGACGGACTCATATGTCCCACTATTACTGTGATTTAGTTAATATTTTATTTCTCCCTGATCATTTCCGTGCGTTTTGCCCACGGTTACGGTTTATTGTCTGTTACACCTTTTGTTCCTCATTTTGGACCTTTATAATTTCACCTTTCCCTTCACTCCCATATTCCTTCCATTTACTGATTATGTTATGATGTATTATCTATTGTTTTCTCATCTCATTATTTGTTTTGGAATGTCTGTGACATTATTATGATTAGCGCAACATCAATTTTCTGTTTGTTGTCTTTTGCTAGTGGTATAGCCAGGTGTGTGCTGCTGTCCCAATAGTCCCATCTTTTCTAGTAGCGGTTGGAAAAGTTATTTACATAATTTCCACTGATGACTTGTTGTTTGCCCTCTGCCCGACTTTTTAGACACAGCTGCCACAGTTCAGGTCCAATTTAAGTGAATTCAGAATTTAGAAATAATGGCTTATACAGTATTTTAAATTGGATGTGTAAGTTTTATAAATACTTAGTTCATACTCTAGTAGAATAAAACACGGAATGGTTAGAAAAGTATCATGATACTTGATCTTTTCTTACCTACTCACACACCTATTCACTTGCATCTTTTTGGCCTTTCTAATTAAAGATTGCAATATGTATCTGAAACTTTCCTGTATTATTCATATCAATGGTGGTGGCAGGAGCAAGTAGGAATTAGCCCTGGTTCACATATATGTGGCTGTGCGGGCCACATTTTGCGTGGGCACGAGAACCCATTCATTTGAATGGACTCCCGTGCCCCGTGACATGCAGGGAAGAAGTCCCTGCACTTCTTCTGAAAACACAGCCCGCACGGCAACCTCGGTTCCCAGTACGTTTGCGTTTTCCAGTG